GGTCTCATCGACAAGGTTTCTCCTATATAAGCGGATTTTGTCAAGAGAGGAAGCTTTTTCCGGTCAGATACTGGACCCATGGCTCGATATTTATCAGTTCGGTTACCAGAATCGACGCCTAAACTAAGCCTACGTCTGATTCGACCAAGACTCACGAGGTGCACCCATTTCGTTAGTAGGTAGATGAACTTACGACTGCTTTGGTATCGATCCGTCTTAGAAAAAAGTGTTGCGTCTTAGTAAAGATAAATACCCTCATGTAATTCGGCTTTTTGAGATCCGGTCACCATCTATACCATTACGCTTAATCTCGTCAATAAGCGATCAGTTTCTCTCGGCTCAGCTGAATTGTTCTGGCGTATTTCTACAAAACAGGTTGTCTCAACACGCTTTCCGGTTGTCAGCTATATATTAGTGTGTAATATCGTTGGAGAAGTATCTTCCCCACAAACACGAGACCGATTCTCAACCGTCAACTGACTATTGTTTGTTTTAAAACGCAGCCGAACGCTTTCTTCGTTCCGCCACCATTTGGACGGCATCGCGGCCATGTTTACCTGTTTACAGTTGACGGCCTGTAACCACTCATTAATAGCACATTATAGCACCATATACAAGATCCACATGTAACGTGACACTTCGTTTCAAGGTCACTTTTCACGCCCTCCAGCACCTGTAAGCGCGTGAAATTCAGCGAATTTGTTGCTACACAATAGTCCGTCCATATTACAACCTCGAAAAAGCCAAGTGAAAATCGGCTGTATCGGTCGTATTTTGGAGCGAAGGCTGACCTTGAAGAGGTAGTGGATACAATGAGTGTCGTTGGATAGGGTAGTGCTACACCTCCCCTGGGATCGTTCAATAATAACTTTATAGTTACCCATATATTTTGCAGGCTGTTGCGCGTCAGTTCGTCAAGTTCATCGCCCTTCGTTACTTGGTAGTAGATCTCCAATGTGTGATTAACCTTACCCAGAAGTTACCTTTGTTATAAAATTAGTAAGTACATACTCATGGTTGGCCAACTGTCTCAGAAGACAACAAGTTAGCCGGGGATTGATGATACTTATGATGATTAGCGTGAACTTGAACGACGCTCCCACAACCGTGAGAATGGACTGTGATGCATCTTGACCGATGAATGGTCGCCATTCTTCAGCCACCCTTCTGGGACCATGGTCCAGAATACCAAGCAACTTTAGCGTATATACACTCATTTGCAAACTAATTTGGTTTTTCGAGAGACTCACCTGGAACCCAGCTGAATCTCTTGGTTTTGATGTTTCCAGGCAACTGAATGTGCTGCTTTCAAGTAGAACATAAGGTTGGCGGAAACTTGGGGACTGCGTCTACCTGATGAGCCCCAAGAAGGGCGAAACTGGTCGTGGGCTATCGAGGGGTTTTCAGCAACCCTATGAGCAGTGCATAAAAAATATCAAGCAACCTTGTTTGTTCCTTGAAGATCACCTCTTGGCACTCTGAATACGTTGAGTTGTTTCAGCGGTAATTCTGCGGGCGAATAGGAACAGTGTTCGTTCACGATTTCGTCATACGATGCTGTAGTGGCAACGTTGCAAGTGGACAATTTACGATTCTGGACGCAAAATGTAGCGAACCACTGCGCTGAGCAACGCGAGCCAGTTTCAGAACGAGCCCAATTTGTGTTTGATACTCTATATCCTAAATTAGCTGGATGCTGAAGTCATGATTTCCAACTTGCTCGAAAGTGAGAAATTACAACATCTGGTCTCTTCGGATGAGTATATTGCACTTTGCCAAATACTTAAATTTGGTCGGGTACGTTCATCTGCAAACTGAGTTGGCGTTAAACGAGAACATTAAGTTGATGAAAACTCGGGGTCCACATCTACCTGATGAACCCCAAGAAAAGGATACCAGCTGTCAAACAGTTTTCAGTAACCTCCCAAGTAGTATGTGGTATCAAGATAAAGGTCTGAGTTTTTTGTTTGTTTGTTGACTTTCCGCTAACATCTTTGTCTCTCTATCTTCCCCATTCTCGTTCGAATTCACGCAATATCCATAATCTACGAAATTATATCCACTTCGCAATGCATTTTCAAAAGTGAGGGGCGTGGACCCTGACGTTTCTTTCCATGTGTGCGCTCTCGTAGTTCGAACCCGACCTCTGCCTCTCGACTTCCCTTGTTTGAGCTTGGGCAACCTGGCAGTATCCCAGCCCTCGTACTTCCTTCGTGTGGCATGGCAGCTAAGCATCGAAAGGCTGCTACAGCTGAACCATTAGTTTTCATTATTTCTCGTGTGCTCTTCATGGTGTCGTTTGGTATGAATTCAGGCTGTTTTATTTTGTCGGTCATTTGGTTTCGGTTGATGCTGAAACCACAAGTAGACAATAGCTTTGGTAAACTGCGCCAGTCCCTTGTCTTATCAATCTGAATTTCACTTGTACGGTATCATGAAACACGCCTACCCAGGGGACTGTAATTCCCCAGGACAAAAGCCTCAAGAGAGAGAGAGAGATGGATAAAGACCGGGGGGATTTATAGAGTCTGTGGTACATTCCCTGTCCGCATAACCTTGCGATACTAACGCTATTGCAGGTTCGCTTTCATCCGTCAACTTTTAAACGTCCCGATGGAACTCTCAATAGAAATCAGACCAGGTCGCTTCAAGTGTCTTTCGAATCGTTTGAACTGCTGATAACTGAGTGGTCACCAAACTCCCCTTTTTCACCAACGATCATGAGGCTACGAGAGAGAGAGAAGGTCAACATCGGCAGAGCCACCTGGAATTAGAGACAGTATACAATATAAAAAAAATTTCAGAGGCACCTCACAGCTTTATTCCTCTATCTGACATTCGATAGTTACTGACTACTACTTACTAGCTTACTTCCTTATTTATCTGCTTACTCACCTACTTACTTAATTGATTAAGTAGGTATATCTGGATGAAAATTTAGTCTTCAGTAATGCGAGCGAATGGAAGAGTTATTTAACGTCCTTGTTATTGGCTCGGCATCACGTGTATTTGCAGTATTCTCTCGAGAATCGGTCAATGCAATAAAGTAGCATAAACGAGAGATTCAGTTGAGTCTCTTATGAAAACCAAATTGATTTGCAAATTAGTGTATTTCTCGAAAACAGTCCAATTTGGGTTCAAGTAGATCATAAGGTTGACGGAAACTCGGGGACTGCGCCTACCTGATGAGCCCCAAGTAGGGCGAAATCGGTCATGGGCTGTCGAAGAGTTTTCAGCAACCTTGTGAGTAGTTTCCTTTATAAAAATATTGAAATCTCTTTGTCGGCGTTTGGCCAACTTTATCAGCCGTTCAGGAACCAGTTTGGTTGGAAATTTAACAACTGGCTGTCGATGGGTATTTCACCAAGACCCACGCAGCGCTTGCCATCTGACCGGCGTAGACTTGACCGCTGGCCCGCGGATAGGGTGAAAATATGTAGATAAAAAAAGATTTCGTAGCTACTTACAACTAAACCGCGACTAATCGAATATTGCAGGGAACCTGGGCATTCCTGACTTGCTTGTCGCTATTCTGAGGTAGCCCTTATGTTTATGAGCTCAGCCATAAGTAAATACGTTTCATTTCACAGATTAACCCGTTTGTAGGGGGATCGGAATTGGGTGTGGACGGCTTCTATCCACTTACCATAGTCCTGGGAGCAATCTTGCGCCAACGAGACAATCGAGTTAACATGGCGGACCGTTTGTCGCGCGGAATAACCTTCCCTTCTTGCGTACAACCGTAATTTCATCGAAAATACAACAACACCCTTATAAAGAGTTTTCGTGATATTTCGAACCATTGTCTACACCGAATGCCTTTTCGTCCTTTGTATAATAAAAAAGGAACATCAGGAGAACTGATGTGACCGTTGTCGTGATTCCAAAACGGGCCACTATCGGTCTGAGAAAATCCTAAACATCAACAATTGAAGCATGATATGTTGCGGGTAGATTCTGAGTGGAAAAACATTTGCGGTTTCTTTAATCGAAGTTCCCATGGCAAATCACTTGCGCATCGCAGCAATCAGCTGATTGATTCGTCTGTAGTATGTGCACCAAGGACCGGTCAAATGACCGCCTCCCATTGGCCGCATCACTTCACGATGACAGAAAGATCTCACCAAATAGTACCACCCTATGTGTTCCGGATTCGTGCCCAATTTTTCTCGTTTTGCGGTGGGCACATTTGCGATCGGATCCATATTTTGTAGCCACAACATGGAAGTTATTCTGGCTCGCTGTTCTTGGATTTCTGTGTTCGCTTGTTCCGGAACTGGTGGATCGGTGAGACTGACGGCGTTCTGTATGGGTTTCGTCTGTACGGTATTGGTGAGGGAAGAGAGGAGCACAAATGTGAGAACCATAGAAGGATTAGTCCATCGGGGAGGCATGGCATGAACCAGTGGTTGACGAAATGTCCGTCTCGATCGGAGCCTTGTTTGAACTGAGTTCAGCGCGGTGTTTCTGGTTTGAATACACTTGCCACACGGAAACATTTTTGTCGGTTTTCTCTTACTTACCAGTCCATGTTCGCAGCGTCGCAGCTATTTATGTGTGCGAAAGTGTGTAGGCGGTCATCCATTGTAGACGTACCGACCAATGAGAATTCCGCACATTGCATACACCTAGTGTGAAGTGAGCGAGCAAATGCGTGAGATCACCAACATCCCCATTCGCATATATCATCTGGCAATGTCAATCAGAAATTTTCATTGTCTGTAATAGCATCGAGTAAGAACTGTGCGTCACCCAGAATGATGAGACTAGCGGTATTTTCTAATCGTTCTGCTGTTCAATTTCCAACTAAGTGTTTATCCTTTACGTGAAAAATGAGTCCCTGAACTAATGTTGTTTTACAAGTTAGACGCGGAACGCGTTTTAGACTGTGTTTACATGGGCCGTCCAGCGATAAAAGTGGCTCCATACGGTAGTCCCTGAGCCGTTTGACCTTGAGTAGTTGAATACATCACAACTGTACCATTAATGTGATGTCCACTCTTAGATTTCTATTAAATGGGATTCTAATCTGTCGTCCGTCGTTTGAATTGGATTCACAGTGACCCACGGGTACACTGTAGTCTCTTGAGCACATCACTTGGCCCGATGTTCCCTCCGTATGAACGACCAATAGGCTCACACCAAGTTGTCCTCACAGGTCAGACCAGTTCAGGCTTTATTTTTAGTCAGGTGTATAGTTTTTGGTTGGCTATTCAATGGACTTTTCTCAACTCTAAAGGGGCCCGTCTTTATTTCAACTTGTCCTGAATGCATCCAAATTTCCACCAAACCGGAACCATTTTTCTGTGGTTGTAGTGTGGGATTCTGCAATCCGTTGTGAAGTATTTCGGACGTGTTGGTGGTGTGACTAGCCTTATGTGGAAATCAAGGATAGCATTCCCTGTCGTTCAGGATTGATTCCGGTCTAGGGACGTTCGTCTTTTCAACCATACTGTGTGTTGTCATGATCCACACGCTGATTTATCACAAGCGGCCTTAAAAAGCAGACTTCACCGCATTTTTTACACAACGCCTACGGTTGTTCCGCGGACACAGTCATCCACTTCAGTCGCACACCGTGTCTCCAACCCGCACGTAGATCCAGCTAAGCCATCAGGTGATGTCCTGAGCACTGTCCTAATCGAGTAATTTGACGCAGATCATAACCTATCCAACGTGCTGTGTAGACGATGATTGGCTGTGAATTCCAGGGTGAATCTTGCTTACCTCTGGCTCTCTGACTGTCACTTGACCAGATTGGTTGACTGACCGGCTGAAATTCTCCTGGTGCCGTACTCAATGCAAATTTTCATCAATTTTCTCATCACCCCAAACCATGTGGCCGATCCAACCAGACAACTTTCGACTACCGTATAAATTTGGCACTACCCTAATTACATCATATTTTCCGTTTTAGCCATGACAGATGCTCATCCGCCAAGCCACACATGCCTCTCCCATATTCTCGACAACAGTTTATGAGGTTGATAGATTCACGACGGTTTCCTACCGAAGCGCGTCTCACAGAACTTCCCACGGACTTTATCTCCACACATGATTCTGTTCAACAATGGATCTGTCGAATTCGCGACGGTGCTACCAAACATCACGATGACACTTCCCTGGTGCACATATGTCGAGCACTTAATCAGTGTATGATCGCCACACACGAGAGGAAACAATCGGTTTCTTGTATCCAGCGTCCTACGTTCATTCGTAAGTTGCCAGGCTTGCGTTTATACGAGTGTTTTTTGCCTTTGGCGAGATCCTATGGGGAATGTGGATTTTTACCGTCAGCCTCCGTCAGTATGTAGCGTGAACAGAAGAGATGTTGATAACTGACCACGGAAATCGCATCACGTGATCATGCATTGACTGGCTGTTCGAGTGACGAATTCTCCGCTCACGGAAATCACATCACGTGATCATACATTGACTGGCTGTTCGAGTGACGAATTCTCACAAGGAGGTTCCACATTCTTCTTCTGAACTGCTTATTAATTGAGGGTGATGTGAGGAGATTTGGCAATTGCCAATAGAGTTACTGTGCTAACCTTGAGCCGGGATGAGTGTCTTTGCTCTCTTCTTCTGAACTGCTTATTGATTGAGGGTGATGTGAGGAGATTTGGTAATTGCCAATAGAGATACTGTGTTAACCTTGAGCCGGGATGAGTGTCTTTGCTTTATGAGACGTTTTGATTCTGACGTGCCCACAATGTCCCTTCTCACTCGACTTTCTGTCAACAGTATGTGGGTCCACCTGAAGTACACTTTTAAAAATTAGCTCGGTGTTGACTCAGCTGAATCTCTCGTTTATGCTATTTTTCAACTGATTGTGCTGCACAAAGTTCACCTCATTTTTTCGTCTGAACGGTGTTCGATATATCGCAGTGCATTTTCTAGACGGGACACACTACTCACAAGGTTGGTGAAAAGTGTTCAACAGCCTAATACCGGTCTCGTCCTTCTTGAAGATCATCACGTAGGCGCAGTCCCGCGAGGTTCCGTTTATCTTAGACGAACGATTCAGTTGGGTTTCAGTCGAATCTTCCGCTAACACCAACCTAATTCGCAAGTGAGTGTACTTCGCGAATCGAATTCAATTTGGATTCATGTAGAACGTGAAGTAGACAGGGTAACTCGAGGACAACGTCTAATTAATAAGAAGGGCGAAGCGGTTTCTCAAAATAGGGTCTGACTAGCTTACATTCGTAAGGTTTCCTTCTGATGCCGGCCAGCTATTCGTTTAAGCGGCGTTGTTCTTTTCATCAAAGCCCTACGACCGGTTCTGGTTGCGTCAGGAATACAAACGTTTCCCACTTTCCACTAACATTGCACACTCACTTCGTTGGAGAATTTCTAATATCAAGATGGCTCAAGTGATTAGAGCGCAAATTTATTGACCGGAAGGTCCGTGGTTCGAACCCGACCTCTGCTTCTCGACTTCTCCTGTCTAGGCTTGGGCAACCTGGCAGTATCCCAGCCCTCGTGCCCCATTCTGGTGGCATGGCAGCAGCAACACCGAAAGGTTGTTACAGCTGAAAGATTTTTTTCTAATATTCGGTATTCTTTCACTATGAATGCACTACATCCGATGGTGTCCGATAAGGCGGAAATTCTGGTAAGCAGTTTCGGCTTCGAAACACTACTAATCGCCCGGTGCCCGGACCATTCCAGATAACTTAGCTAATCCTTCCGCAAAGTTGACGCTACCAACTGCAAGACGGCAACCTCCGCATTGCTACCGAAAGAGAACAAGCCAATCAGCACTGTGAGTAAATCCATACATTCAAACGGTATAGACTCCAGCGTATTTGGTGGGAGACGGAGTCATTTGTGGAATTTATGTGTCTTTGACAAAATCGAAACCGATGGCGTCGGGGTTGTATCTCTTGGTATGCCGAAAGCGTTGGTGTGTTACAATCTATAGTGATTCGTGGATCAGGAACAACCTCTGCGTGCAGAAAACAAGTGAGCAGTCTCGACAGTCACTCATCGGTCTCTGAAACGTTGTATCGAGTTCCCTATTCGTACAAAACATATCTCTTGTGATCAACAGTCTAGTCACGGTAGTGGATGACACGGCCTGCTTTCCTGAGCTTTTTTCGTCTAAACCCTTCCGGGTACCAAGGCGGTTAATCTGTAACATCTCTTCAACTTGTATGAAAATCTTAAAGAAACTGAAGCAAGCGTATCTTCTGTACGTTGAAAGTCAGATGGGGCACCGAGGTGAAGTGAAGTGAATGGAAGGGAAGTGAAGTGAAGTGAAGGATTGTTTAAGTTGATCACCTGAACTTCTCCCACCTCCCTACAGAGTTTTGTGAGACTGATATGTGGCTTGAGGGACACAGTATTTGATATGATCAACATTAACAGAAGCCTGATTAATTAACCAAACCGCTCGACAACCGTGGCGCTTTGTGGAATCTGACACTTGGAATGCCAGGCACAGTATCATAAATCCCGTCTGTCTCTTGTGCACCTCTTCACTTGTTTGTTTGTTTTTTAGTTCCATGGCATCTGCTGTGCGGCGACGCTTTCCTTTTGCGTGGATTGTTACAACTTGTCCTCACAGGATGCGGATTCCCCGATGTTCAAGAAAGTTCAGCCATACTGTTGTACAACATGTGCACAATTGCATCACGTGAAACAAGGTTGGTTCGATTGGATGAGACTCTCCTCTTTCACACTTTATGATCATATACATATATATAAAGAAAGAGAGAGAAAGAAGCTAGCATTCCAATTCTCGTTGTCGCCACTCGACGTTTTATGTAGAATCGGTGCAGTCTCCAACATATTTGTGCCTGAGAACATCACAAACGAGAGATTCAGCTGAGTCCCAGGTGAATCTCTCGACAAATGAGTGTATATTCCCTAATTTCGTGCAATTTGGTTTCAAGTAGAACATAAGGTTGTCGGAAACCCGAGGACTGCGCCTACCTGATGAGCCTCAAAAAGGGCGACACCGATAATGGGCTGTCGACGGATTTTCAACAGCCTTATGAGTAGTACATTACAAAGATATTGGTGAATTAACTTTCCGGTGAAATGCGCCGTTTTCAGGAGCCATGATTCTTGTTCCATACTTTTTGGGTGCTAAAACACTGAACCGAATTGACGCTTTCAGTTTGCAAAAAAGAACGATTCCGTCATGTCAAAGGTAAAAGACGAATTTATTGATGAGTCCTCAAGATTCCCAGACAGCTGTCTTCATAGAGGGTCTTCGGATTATTGCCTGCCATGTTTTATATGCCTGTTCAACATGTTTCTGCTATCTCGCTTGATCCCACGTGAACAATTTGTTCTGCTATTGCGTGAGACGCACACACGAATCTCCGCCTCAATCGCAAGACTTGCCTTTTTTGAATTCGGTGACCCCAGTGGTTATTCAACCTACACTACAGACGGCTGACTACCGAGGTGACAAATGCAGTAAAAAAACAGTATATACGTAGAATCTGATTTCCTAATAATGACGAATCTACTTACACCAGGG